TCGTAAGAAATGTAAGGATCTCTCTCTTGACTGACATGGCTATATTGCACATATTGATCACTGCTACAAGCACATGCTGATGTCAATGATGAAATTGAACAATGTTTTTGTTTTTTAAATGTAATAAAAAGAAAAACAACACACAAACCTTGATCTATTTACTTTGTTAATTCTATATTATTAATACATTGGTGCAAATCCTGCTATACATTTCTAATTAAAGCTTTGACATTTTGGGAGGATATAACACTGACAAAAAGGCTGTGCGAATTGTGAGTCATCCAATTATTCTAATTGAGTTGGTCAACCGAAGAATAGGACTCAAATTAAATTAGTCCATTGAAGCGATTTCCACTTCACTGAAATTGAACGCCTGATGTTGCAGTATCAAGTTCTGCTACAAATACACAGTCTGAACATGATCCAAAACCAATTCTAATAAAGGGGTGACATTGTGTTAAACTAAAACAATGCAAAGCTCTCCAAATCCTGTGAAGCCCACATTTAATTGAATACACTACAAGGACAAGATATTTAATGTTCAAATTCCATCCATTTTCAACACTGAGTGTCTAAAACATGCGGCCGCATATCCAATGATACAACCACAAAATCAAACATCAAACTGCGGCCAAGGGTGTCCTGGTGCCAAGTCCACATCAGACACCCTTATGTTTGAACATGGTTTTTGTTATGGACAATCTGTGACGAGCACCAAAGTCCAATAACAGAACAGCACTCGCACGATCAAGCCCTTCCAGGTCTCACTGCCATTGCCCACGTGAGCATTGAAGTCCCCCAGCAGAACAAGGGAGTCCTGAGCGGGAACGCTCTCCAGCACAGCCTCCAAGGACTCCAAAAAGGGTGCGTATTCTGGGCTGCTGTTTGATGCATAGGCATGAATAACATTCAATGGTTGTAGGCCCGGCGACCCCCACCTCCAGGCTTGGCTCCAGAGGGGGGCCCCGGTGACCCGCATCCAGGTAAGGGAAACCAAGGTCCATATATTTTACTCATAACGGGTGTCGGAGCCATCCTTGGTCTGGCCCCTCAACTTGGACCTGTTTGCCATGGGTGACCCTGCCAGGGGCCTAAAGCCCCAGACAACATAGCTCCGAGGATCATCGAGACATACAAAGCCCTCCACCATGATAAGGTGATGGTTCACAGAGTCATCATCAGTCATCCCACCTCCACTATTAAAATATCTTAAGCAACTTTGCTTGTGTTAGCAGTTACCTGCTGACATGTGTTAGTTACCTAGCTCCGCCTGAAATTACATCTCCCCTTCAGACAGTCCATTTGTATGACCATTTTAGAGTGCCTCGTTGTCGGATGGACCTGCACGCACTTCTGGCTGAGAAAGAAGTGGGTGGGAAGAAGGGGGAGGGGGGGTCTGACTTGACAGGGACAGTGCTTTGTCTTTGCACATCCGCTTTGGAGTGCCATGTTGTCACAGCATGGAAAACACACCTGAGTCTTTCAGCTTTACATTTTCGCCCGCTCAGACCAAGGAGCATCAGTATGTCCAGGTCTGAACGGAAACAGCTGCAAGTTAAATGGTGTGTAGTTACAGTGCATTGAGCTGACTATATACAGTACATTCAATCATTCAAATTCGACAGGGCTGTTAACACTTCTTTGCAGTGTGTCAAATTTACAAGGAGTTTATTTTCACTTTACAGGGATTTCACAGATCCGAGTACTGTATTGTGTAGACATTTGGGTATACAGTAATCCCTTGTTTATCATTCCAAAAAGAACCCATGATAAGTGAAATCCGTAATTATAAAGCACATTTGACAAAAAAGTTTTACTTGGTACTTGATAGTCAGCTTTATTTTTTACAGTTATTACACAATACTGAACTATGTATACAATGCAGAGGCGATTGCTCTAAGGCTGCAAGGGAAGCTCAGCTTTCCCTAAAATGTCAAAAAGTAAGTGATCAAATAGATGTGTGTACGTACAATTGTGTGGACATGTCATTGACTAAATATATGCTACAACGCGCTCAACTTTTGTTCCGTATCAGCTTCTTATTACTGGTTATGACGCGACTCTCTTCTCATTCATTCCCGCAGCTTCACTATGCTTTAAACTGTGGATGCTGAGCGTCGACCACGCGGACACTGGGCGTCGAGAGAGTTCAGTGTAGGTTGTCCCAATGCATTGAAACGAGACGAGTTATTGGATAGATGCTGGTTTTGTCCCGCCCATCGGACGCTCAGCGTATCGGCTGGCCCGGACGCTCCGCTTTTCTGCATGATGACTGGATGATCTGTGTGAGGCTGAATCTCTTTTTGATTGACAGCGAAATGAGCCAATCACCGATCTTATGGTGAAGGCATTCTTTTGATTTTATTGAAAAGGAACAGAGAGTAGAATATCACGTATAAACGGACACATTTTATGATGTTGGCTGAAATTGAGCTTCCCCTCCTTGACAGACCAGCATCCGCCACTGATACAATGAAACCAAAGACCAAAAATTTGCAAGCTGTACAGAGACGAGGTGTGGAGACTGTTCACATTGGTCAGTCCCTTAGCCAATCAGGATGCAGAACACAATTCACTGTTTAAAAAAAAGCATTAAATAAACTCCACGAAAAAAATCCGTGAAACAGCGAAGCCGCGGAAGGTGAACCGTGTTATAGTGAGGGATTACTGTAATACAAAATTATAATCACTCCGTAATACTACTACCAGATCCTACCTTTTGCAATGCAGGACATCATCATGAGAACAAAACGGAGCTCCTTGACTGGCCAAGGACGCACAAGCGTCAAGTCGTGGTTGGCAAACAGCAACCGTGGAGATGAAAGGTACAATTTAAAGAAACCCCAAACTGACAGAAACAAGTAGTTTTATTTTAAAAATATTTCACTGCTGATACAATACACTCATCATAATCATATATTTGCAGAAAGTATACTCTTAACATATTATTTATAGTTTGATACATTATTGTCCGATGGCGGACAGGTAATCGACATGGGGAATACTTTATTGTAGTGTCCAGCATTTCAAACACAGAGAAGAAGCACTACAACAGACAAAGAGTGGACAACGTCATCAGCTGCTGCCCGACTGACTGAGCGAGCCGGAATCGGGGTTGCGCTGACAATGCTATTACTGAGCGCTATATCGAATTTTAAATAGAGACTTGTAAGAGCAAGTAATTACAATTAATACGAAAAAAAAACCCCAAACAAAAACTGCCCGTATGGAGAGAACTAGCTTTGGTGGCATGTTCCAAAAAATATTTAAAATCATTTTTTATATTCATTTTAGATTAAAGGCCCGCCCCTTCTCTCACTCCCAAACCGAGTGACCGGACTGGATATTCAAACGATAATTTAAAAATTTCTAAAAACTTAGGTGACTAAGATATTTTGATCACCTTTAAAAGAGATCTGGCTTGGCTTGTGAAAATAATGTCTTGTCATGTTCTTTAGCATGAGTTGAGTGTGACCAGCCAATATATTGTGACCACTTGCACAGCACCGTACATGATATCCAATAGTCGAGCTGGATCTAAAATGATACCTTTATAAAAGGTAAGTTTAAGTGACCAGTCAGAGGTAGATGCCTATGTGGAACTGGGAGTCGCGGCTTGGAATTGAAGCGGATTTACATGGGACAGGAGAAGAGAGCCAATCTCTCTTTTTCGTTAATGGATGCTACAGCATCTTGTTTGCTTTCAAACTTAGCTTGTAGCAGATGTGTGTACACTGCAGCATGACGTCTTTGATCCACTGGTGAAAAGGACACTTTGATTCGCTCCTCTTTCATCTATAACTGCTTCTGACACAAAGTATATGCAGGAAAGTGGTTAAGATTGCACGATTGTCTGTGTCTAATGTGTTGTCTTGTATTATGTTGTCATTTTATGTTAACTTTTCTTTTGATGGCGGTGCGGACACCCGCAGCGGCTCCTCTTGTTTTATGAAGAAATTTCATCTGTGCTGTATGTTGCACATACAGTACATTTGACAATAAAGTTGTACTTGACTTGACTAACAGCACTTTTTTGTTGTTGGTGTGGTTGCAGTATGCAATTGCGCAGCATTTACTGCACCAAAATTGGAGCGGAGTGTGGTGGTCAGAGTATTGCGGCTCGTCAAAATTCAGTATAGTGCGCGCTTGGAGGTAAGACGGAACCAAATTTGCAATTTAAATAGGGTTTTTTTTCATCAGAATTCATAAGCAATCAAAGACAAATTTGATAAGGACTGTTTTGCAAGCATTTTGTGGATTTAAGATTTTTTTTTGTCTTTTTAACTGCAAGATACGGAAGACAAGGACTGTCCCTGAAGCATTTTGTGGATTTGATTTGTAATTTTTTTTTTTTAAACATTTTTGCAATCATGCTTGGGGAAAAAAATCGAATTAATTTGTTTGATTTTGTTTGATTTTGGGCGACTTCAAAGCAGCAAGTTATATGAGGCGCGTCAACCAGGAGCTGTCAGATTGCTCAGGGCACAGTGCACAGGCGCGTTATGGTGACACTGCTGCAACTTGTCTTGACACAACTCTCGCCTCTTCTCACGCACTGAACAACGCAATGGCCACAGGAACTCTTTGTATATGTGCTTGTTGAGGTCCCCAACCCCCCAACCTTCACTTATCCTGGTAGGGCAATTGAGAAGACTGTCATTTGAAATGCTGATCTCTGATTTTTCTTTTCTTTGACCAGGGCTGGAACTCCACAGTCACAACTCGGATAAGTTCTAATACATAGCATTAGCACTCAAGCTTTTCTACCAAATGAATCATTTTACAGCCTTGTGGTACACACTGAAAATTTTGAAGAAAAAAAAAATTCTTTTTCAAAATTTAACTGTACTGGCATTGTTTAAATACATTTTTAAATGGCAGAAACTGAAATTCCTTGAGGGCCAAAACACAGCACTGAATATGATGGGAGTACAGGAATATATATTTTTTTAACTTAAGTAATCGTCTGATTCTTTTCATTAACTAACGATAATCTTCTAAGTCCAATTTATTTGAAAATTCCATGGCTCTAGTATAAACCCAATGGCACTGAAGTTGGGACGTTTTGTTTAACATAAGTCAGGGGTGTCAAACTCATTTTTGTCGGGGGCCACATTTTAGTTACTGTTTCCCTTGGAGGGCCGTTACGACTGAAACCATATTAAAAAATCAATAATAACGGTTTATTCAACTATTGTTTAAGTGACTGTAATGAGGGGTTTGGTCAAGAAAATGCTTACAATATGTCTCTTATTTATGACATATGAGAATTTAAAATTTTGGGAGAGATTTTAGTCAGCATCATGGAAGGTGACGTTTGATTTGCCATCGCGGGCCTCATAAAATGATGTGGTGGGCCAGATCTGGCCCCCGGGCCTTGAGTTTGACACCATGACAAGTACAAGCAGAAGTGCGGTTGGGTTTGGGTGTTACCATGAAAAATGTGCATCTATTTTGACTCGTGGCGCTTACCTTCCAAATGTTTCATCACACTTTTGCGTGGATGTGACCTTCTGCATGCACTCAAGTGTTATACCGTATTGTCTCCATACGGGCAGGCGGAGACATCCGCTAACCTCCTCCTGACATCTCAATTCCAATTAAACCGTGAAAAGACGCGGCTTGTTGGAAGCAGCCGGGCGACGGCGTCACATTGAGATTTCATAGTCACTGATGATCTCAAACCAAACTGAACCGTGGACACTCATGGCCCCCTTCAAGACTTAATCATCCAATATCCAGTAGCTCCATTCCCTGTTACAGTTTTACTCTGCTAGATTAGTTGCACATGGACCTTGTTTTATATATTATTTTCATGTTTGAAAAAAAAAATACCTATTTGTTGATGTGTAAGTTTAACAGTATTTTTTTTTTTTTTTTGCAGTGACAATTTCATGCAGTACGGTTGTGTTCTCAAGTGCCAACAAAACCAAATTCAAGTTTCTTTTGCATCAAAATTTACCCTGGGGGTGTGTCAAGGAATATTAGGGCCACACTGAATAATTAAAAAAACAAAGTCAATGTTACAAGCATAAAGTTGTATTTTAACCAGAAAAAAATTGCAATACAACACATTTGGAGAATTAGGCAAACAAATTTGTAACGGTACAAGCATAAAGTCATAACCTAAAGAAAATAAAGTTGACTGTTAGGAGGATGTTTTGTTTCGGTTCACATGGGAGGATTTTGTGCCAATCAGACTTTTTTTCATCAACTAATACAACATACCCATGATTATTATTATTTTTTTTTAGGTCTTGAAAATTACATTACAGGTTAACATTTCGACGTTTTCTCCCAAAAATGACTTCAAATATGCAAGTGTACATATGGACTTTTATACTCACAGCATGACAACTTTTTTCTTGGAAAAAAAAAACTAAAAAAAAATTTAACATGAGATTTTCTTATTTATTTTCTGATATATATTTCTGAAAAAAATATTTGACTATATACTTTCAAGAATAAAGTGATACTGTGAGGAAAAAAATCCATTAAAAAGCAATGATATTGAGTGACTTTGTTCTCATATTAAAACATTTTTCATCCAAAACTTTAGGGAGAGTACGTTTTTCCTCAAAAAATTACTTTATACTTTAACATGACTTCTTTCTCAGAAATAAAGATACAAATGAATGAATGACAACTTTTCTTTTCAGCGTGGCCTTAACACTCATTTGTTAATTGAAGTGGCCAGTCTCCCTTCATTTATTCATTTATTTTTAATGGGCTGTTTTACAGGTGCAGCTGCGTTTCAGGGAATAGATTTGCAGCACTTAGGATGATTTCACCATTCGATACCAGATTTAAATAGTTTTCGTGACTGAGAATACAGTCAACTTCTGTTCAGGGCTTATGTCTGAGTTTCATGTTAATTAGCTTTCCAGGAAGTCTTTGCCTGGACAAAGTCTGCAAATGTCCAACTGAATGAAGAGAAGCACTGTTTTTTGTTGTAGTTTTTTTTTTTGGGGGGGGTCTTTGGACAGTGGAAATTGTGTGAGTCTTAACACACATCGGACCACTGCTCCCCGTCACATTCTAACAACTTCTTTTGTTTGCTTGTGGAAGAGATACAAGACGGCCGCGGCAATTTTTGCCCCCGATCATGTGCATGAGGAAAAACACAGTTCCACTTCAAAAGGGACCACCGAGTACAAATTTTTAGAGGGTTTTTGGACTGAGTCGTTCAGCCTCAGACACAAAACGCAATTCAACTATTGAAGTGACGGTGGGAAATAACAGCTGGATGTCTTCCTCGGATGTACGCGCAACGTGAGCATGCCTTCATGTGGAATTCTTGGGGTAAAGTGTCTTCTTAGCAATGATCCGGATGGTTAACTATTGTGATGGTCTCCCCATGTCAACTGTAATGGACACCGGCAAACACCGCATTGTACACTCGCAGACTAACACCACCTGTGAGCCTGGAACCGCTGTATGTTTTGAGAGTCTGGGATCGGTTGGGGGCTCGACAGCTGACAGCGAAACCGAGAGAGCCAGTGTTAGAAAGAAGGCTATCCGTCAGCAGACACAGCACAGTGAGCCAAATGCAACTGCTCTATTGAAGGAGAGGCCATCTGCGGAAGTAACTATCACTGCCTTAACATTATATTATGGAAATGCCTTCATTCGGGTTCACCTTGAAGCTCGGGGAGTCCACTTCCTACGTTTAAATCTCCGTGTCTGTTTCATTCACAATGTCACGAAGGACGCTTTTGCGGAGCAGTTGGCAACAGAGTGCAGGGAACCGAAAAGAAAATGCAACAGGAAAGCCATTTCCGCTTGACTGAACTCTCTCTACCGGTGGCTCTGGCGCTGGGAGGGGGGGTCTCTCGCCTTCTCTCGCTCTCTGCATGATGCCCTTCAGCTTCTTTACAAAGGCCAAGGCAGATCACTGAAGTCCACGGGGCCGCCTAAGCCAGCATCTGCCTCCAGAAGGGACATGATGACAGCCATGGCCGCCTCATCGTTGCTTGGGCTGCTGGAGCCGGGCTCATCCATGATGTCTATACTCAGGTGGGAGTTGTCGCCTGAAGTGAGGGATGAGAAAGGCCGAACGTGAGCAGAAAGAAGATTTTACAGTGAACAGTCACTAAGATTTTGAAGTGACCCTCCATAAGATTTTGCAGGAGAAAGGAAAGACAGAATTTAGAGTTGCGCGTCTTTAGTCTACTAAATCAGATTGTGCTCCAGCACACCTCATCACTGTTCTGCTATCCTCCTACATGCCCTGTACTACATTATTCTCTGCCACTCCAGACTTCCTAATGCAATGCAACACCACAGTTCCTCTCTGGGTAGCCTGTCAACGGCTTTCTCAAGATTGACAAAACTTGGCTACTTCTGACCTTCTCTGTATGACTCAAGGCAAATATTGCATCTGTCATAGTCTTCTGAGGCAAGAAAGCACACTGTGGCTCACAAATACTCACTTCTGTTGTGTCTTGCACTGATACTGGTTTAATTTTCAATATGAAGTTGTTGAACATTTCACATCTAGATATCAATACAAAAACGATATATTTCCCAGCTCTAATAACTACCAGAACAGCAGCTTGATGACATGATGGCTTCAACAAACATTTAAAAAAATTGGGGTCAAAATTCTGAGATTGATGGAAACGAATGAATTGTTCCGTTTACTGCTTAATTCACAAGAGACATATTTTAAAAAATTGAGCAAAAGTGAGTTGGGACATATGAACTAAAATGGGCGTAAGACTCACTCATGATGGACTGGTTGGAGTAGGGGTAGCCAACGGAATCGGGCCCAGGAAGGATCCCAGTGCTGGCCAGCTCAGGTGTCCCTCCATTGTGAATCTATTAACATGAATGAAAGTATCAGTTACTGTAAGAACACGAGAACAGCTTTGTCATAGCATTGAGCAGGCAAGGAGGCTCACTCATGATTAGTGCACACCTGGACAAAATCAGAGTGAACACCATTTGATTTTGTGGGCTTCATACGTATTTCACAGAAAGGAAACAAATTATGCACATCAAAACAAATGCTCTTTCTAGACTGCACCCCTGTCCCAAGGTGTCCCCCAAGGTTCTACGCTTGGTCCTCTTCTCTTTATCCTCTACCTTCTCGCCCTCTGCCAAATCATTCGTCATCACGGTCTCTGCTTCCACTGCTATGCTGATGATGTCCAGGTGTAGATCTCCACCAAATCCATCACCCCTCTCACTTTTTGATAATAATAATCTCTCTTTCGACCAACACATCACCCAAATCACCAAAATTGCTTTCTTCCACCTCAAAAACATTTCTCGCCTGCATGCCTCACTTTCTCGCTCTAAACCTCATCCATGCCTTCATCACCTCCCGCCTTGACTACTGTAATAGCATTCTCTGAATGTTTAATACATGTTAAAAATACTATTTTCTGCTTTGAGGCAGTCATATTGTTTTGTATATACCGTATTTTCCGCAGTATAGGGCGCACCAAAAAGTCTTCCATTTTCTTAAAAGCTCACAGAGCGCCTTAAAATCCGGTGCATCTTTTGTATGGTCATTACGGTAATACATCGACTCCAAGATGGCTCCTTCCTGGAGACATGCTTCCAATGTTATAATTTGCTGTTGCTTCAGTGAACTGTGTCGCTGCTTTATTAAATAGTTTTTGTTGCAGCTCCGAAATAAGGAGAGCTGTGGTGTTCATTTTTTAAAGCAGTCTCAACAAATACAGGTACGTCTTTGTCTGTCTACGTGCCTTCTTCCGTTCAACTCGAGAGGCGTTCAAGACCGCCTCCGAAAAAACGTAAACTAATGATTACTTCAATGAAACAAAAATTGAAAATAATACATCAAAACTGAAAAGCAAGCGAGGATATCACAAAATAAATTCTATTCCCCCCCCCCTACAGACTTTATATTGTGATTTCATCATTTGTGAATACACAACAAAGGAATAAATAACTACTACTAACATCTGATCGTAGTAGTCATGGCGCTATGATCAAGGAAATGCCAATGCGTTTTACAGAGGCGGTCATGAACGCCTCTCGAGCTGACCGGAAGAAGGCACGGAGATGGACAAAGACGCACCTGTATTTGTTGAAAAAAGGAGAGCTGTGGTTGTGGTTTTATTTTTTTAAACGCAGACTTTATTCATGGTTTTCACAGTCTCAACAAATACAGGTACTGTACCTCTTTGTCCGTCTCAGTGCCTTCTTCCGTTCCACTCGAGAGGCGTTCATGGCCGCCTCCGAAAAACGTAAATTTATTATTACTTCAATGAAACCACGAAGAAAATCAAGCGAGGAAATCACAAAATAAATTCTTTTAGAATTTATTTTGTGATTTCCTCGCTTGATTTTCTGTTTTGATGCATTATTTTCAATTCTCGTAGTTTCATTTAAGTTCAGTAATAGTTAATTTACATTTTTCAGAGGCGGTCATGAACGCCTCTCAAGTTGAACAGACGCCTCTCGAGTTGAATGGAAGGAGCGTAGCACCATCGAGTGGAGGCATTGTAATTGCGCCTTATAATGTGACGCGTCCAATGTATGAAAAAAATTTACAAAATAGCCATTCATTGAAGGTGCGCCTCATAATCCAGTGCGTCTTTTCGTGCGGAAAATACGGTAAATTATACCTCAGAGTGTAGTGGTACCTTATACACCAGCGGTCCCCAACCTTTTTTGCCCCATGGACCGTTTTAATTTCAGACAATATTTTCAGGGACTGTCCTCACAACAAGGCTCCTCTTCTGGCGCCTGGCTGGGCCTTTTCCCCTTGCCAAAGACGTTTGTTTTTTACTCATTTTGCTAGCTCCTGGGTTTCATTTTAGCGGTAATCCTGACCGAGAAGCGTGCCTTGACCCGCGTCAAGAATGACATACTGTAGACGGATGTAACAGAGAATCCGGTAATTTTCCAAAATAAAATATCTTTCAGATTCCAAAATGAATAGAACGGAAGTAATGTAAGTTATTCATTCTTTCTGTGCGGCCCGGTACCAAATGACCCGCGGACCGGTAACGGTTCGCAGCCCAGGGGCTGGGGACCACTGTTATACACTATAAATGAATGCATACTGACAGAGAACCACAGCTGCTGCACTGATTATTGTGGCCAATAAGTAATTCACTAATTTAGGGCACTTTTGGGAGGAAATTTGTACTTTTAATAGAGTGACAACTAACAATTTCTCTGTGATTCAACAGAGACATAATAAGCCTGCTTGCATGGAGGACTTCAGAAATTGGGAGAATATTTACTGTTGAGCAGTTCAAAGTCAGAGGATTTGGACAATTTCTAGTAGGTCTCAAAATGATGACTCTGTTATCAAAAATGAATGATTATCAATGTATTTGATAAATGAATAGTTGCTGAATAATCAGTTAATCCTTTAAGCTCTAAACTTTGATGTTTAATCATATTATCAATAGTAGACAAGGCCAGTTACTCACCATTTTTCCCAATACAGTAGGATTTTATGCACATTTGCGGTAATCTCACCTCCCCAAACAGTGGTTTATTTTTCTTGATTTATTAGATGAGAAGATAACTGTGACAACTATACATGCTTTTCATGAAAACCCTGAATGGATGGAGTTTTTGCATGGAGACTAGTCGCTGATTAAAGAAGCATTCATACAGTAATTGAATCTACACTTAATGTCTGCATTTTTGTTCATATGAATGGCCCATAATGGGTTTAACAGGAATAACGGGCTAATGATCTACATCATCTTGTTTATGTGTATGCAATTTTCAAGATTTTCTTTTCCAGTAGATCATGTCTGTGTGTGCGTGTGCACCCGCGTTACCTTCTTTCCCCCAGGAGAGCAGGTATCCGGTGGAGGGGTACTGGTGATGTTCAACGGGCTAGAACCGCAGCTGGATGGGGAGGAGCCTCGGATCCTACAATCAAAACGGAGAATTATTTCTCAAAAGAAAGAAAACAGGAACGGAATCGGAAAAGAGCAAATAAATCTTCCCAAACACCACATCTGGAATCTGCCTACCACTCAAAGGGAAAAGCAGCTTCATTGTGCTGGCAGGATGAATTACTCTACCATACGCACTATAATTAAAGTGGAACAAAACCCACAATAATAATAATAATAACAACAACAACAATAACAATAATTATATATTAAATTAAAATTACAGTGCCATGAAAAAGCACTGTATTTTTGTCGCCATAATGGTTTGCTTGGTCCTGCGACTCGTTGCTGGAAAAAAGTTTTACTGTAGTTTTTTTTGTTTTTGTTTTTTTGACTGAGAAATTTCCTTGCGTCCCAAAAATGCACATTATTTGGAACTGTGCGTCTGGCGGGAAAATTATGCATCTAGGACGCGGGACGCAGAGCTAACGAGATGGCTGGAGCAGTCAGCCATTGCCATTGGTGGCCACCTTCTTTATAGGGAAGGTGGCAGCAATGCAACAGAAGTATTTGCCAACCGCCAAAATAAAGTCGAATAAATGGAGGCAGGAGACGAAAGATGGTCATGGAAGGGAATGTGTTACGTATAGCTACAGCTGGGCAACTATGGAAAAAAAAAAAAGAATCACAATTATTTCAATGATTATTCATTGATCAATGGTTATTCGTTGATCTCAAAACTTAAAAAGCATTTATTCTACTAATAAAACTACTCAAAACATATAGCTTCATGCCCATTCATCCCTGCATGTTGAACACTATTCTTTTTGTCAAGTACAAAATGACTTTATAAGTCTTGCATTTTTATTCTGTTACATCCACACCGTTGGTGCCTTGCGTCTTTGCACACATTACCCTCATCTCTGTTATTTTCAAAGGTCTTGGGACTTAACGGAACCAGGGATCTCAGGGATTGTATTTCATGTCATATAATATAATATAATATAATATAATATAATATAATATAATATAATATAATATGCGATTGGCTGGCAATCAGTTCACAAAACGAATGCGCTTTATAAGCCGGTATGTCTCATGTATGTTTTTTTTTTTTTTAATAGACATCGCGCCTAATAATACGGTGCGCCTTATGGTCCGTACATTTAAGTTGTAGACGGCCATGTTGTGCAATTCACATGAGTCCTTGCAGCTCCGAGGTGCCTTGCATCATCAGTGCACAAGCCGCGAATGAGCACAATTTGGCTGGCTCACCACTTGTACTTTGGCTCTTTTTGGGGGGGCGTTATGCATTATAGTCCACTTTGTCCTGCTTTTTAAATCTGTTGCAAAAATATTAAATTAGCCCACTAATATTTACCACCAAGTACTTTTGTGTATTAATGTTCAGCATCATCTAATTTAAAGAGCTTGAATTTGAAAAAGTGGCAAAAAAAATCCTGACTCAATTCTGACAAACTCTGCCTCATATTATTTATGGTACAAATCTCAACAACAGTAGGTTTGTTTTATAATGTGCATCTATGTGCAGGCAAACTGACGTTTGCTTTCAGATGAAACGTTAGGTTTGATAGGAAAAAAATTATTGTTTTCATTGCTGCAAACAGAGGGATAGGTACACTCTGACAATGTATTTAATTAAACATTATTTTTGTGTTATTCGTTGCTCTTTTAACTCTCAAATTATACACAAATTTTGGAATGTATTTGTATTATTTGTGTATTTAAAGACTCAAAATGAAATGCCAGAAACGCTGTCAAAACATACCTATGGAATATTTCAGTAGTTTATTTCTATTTCTTTCAGATTTCACTTATTGGATGATGAGACACTGCCACCCTGAGTCGCTCTGTGAAGATTTTTCAGCACAGCATCAATATGCTCTTACCTTTGGATCTCCATCACTTCCTCTGCGATCATTCTTCCAATTTTTCCTGCTCCTGCTCGAGTGCCACCGGGAATGCCAGGCACCGTCTGCAATGCCCGTCTCCCTCCACCTACTTGTCAAAAGTAACACAGAAGCAGAGGGTTCAAAGGCAAGTCAGGGGTCAGTAATGCTTGACAGTGGCAAGGGCTGCAGTTTATGTTGGCAGCATGTTAAGTTTACCGTCTGAAGGGAGAACACTGTCCATACTCTGTGGGGAGGCAGCAGATTGAGTGTATTCTGAACCTTCCATCATAGGACACCTAGAGAGAGAGACAACCATGTGGAAATGATCTCTTTCAAAACAGGATTTTCCGACATCCTGCATTTTTGCCCTCTGCCACTTACGACACAACCGTGTTCGTGGAGACAATGTATTCCACTTCCTTGGTCCAGGGGTTCATAAAGCTGAACCATCGGCTCCTCAGTGTGATGAAAGAGCCATCTTTGATCTTGAATTTGTAACAGTTCGTGTTAATCTTCTCTCTCATCTGCAGCACTACAACAGTAAACAGAAGAAACAAATGAATTGATTTTTCTCTCTCGCTTTGTTATTTTACACTTTGATGCTCAACAGTGGTACATACAGTGCTTCAAAAAAATGAGTAAAGCCGAATAGATTTGTTTGATGACTTTACTTTCCTTTCATAGTCTCCTCTACGGCACACTTGAATGCAAATTACATTTGTCAATTTGCACACAAAAATGTTACGATCATAATCAAGATTCAGAAATTTTTCTTTGTTCAGGGAGAAATGAGACAATCATCTAATGTCAAAGTAAGAATCATCCTTTTAAAATAGCACAACTCGTTACAATTTAACCTTTACCTTCAAATTTAGAGACACTTTTTTTTTGGGTCTGACTAAAAGTCCTACTTAGATGAATTGAGATGGCAGCGATAGCTGCAGTCAAAAGTTATATATGTATAGAATTATTTCCAGCACACTTCATTATTGTCCTCTGGTGTTAAAAACTTTTCAGGTTGATTTGAGTTCAACAGACCAAGGCCTTTACAAATACCTTGTCTGTGGCACTCTGCCAGATGGCCGATGTCTTCCTGGTGAAAATACTCATAGAAGGATGTTCCAAGCAGCTCCTGCGGTAGGTAGGCTAGAATGGCTGTTGCTCTAAACAAACAAAAAAACAAAAGAGCTTAGTCTTGATTTAGTACCCAGAGCTAATTATAATAATCAAAAAATAATGAGTGATGGGTAATGCCAAATCTTAATGGCAGTGTTTAGCTTTCTCTAAGGTGAAGGAACTGACAATCAGTGTGGTTGGCAGACAAAATGATTCTGTCCACTTGAGTTGATTGAGCCAGGGAGCACCAAGCTTGTGAGACACGGCACTCCGTTAACATATACACACATCTGCCTAGCTCCTTTGCACAATATCATCTTATTGTAAGTATAACTCACTCGAAGGCCAAATATATCTGACCGACACGATAGGTCAGGCATCACTAGCCAAATTGGCAGGTACGTTTTTAATCAACACCTGCCAAAATGAATATTAATCAGTATTTGGCAGGATGGCGAGTGTTAATTTAGAACCCTCCCGGATTATCAAAATAGTTAGAGTAATTTGATAATCGATTAGCTCTCGACTAATTGATTAATTTTGACATCTTTTGTGTAGACAGATGTGTTTAACATGCCTGCAAGAATACCCCTGCTCAGGAGCCTGCATGACTTCCTGCCCTACCTTCCTAAAGCAAAGCCTCCGCTGGATTTTAATTTTGAAAGAAAATGTTTGGGTACAACTGGCAGCTCATCCCAAACAAAACAGGTTTTGTGATCCATTCAACAATAATAATTGAGCTCAATAGGGACATTTTGTTTTGAAAGTAGTGACAAATCAACTATGAAGACTGCAAAAGTTTGATCGAATGATTTCCTTTGTGTCGGCTCACCTCTGGTCAACGAAGACAAATTTGCCATCAATGGCATGCCGGGAAACATACTCGGTGGGCTTCACTCTGATGTCTGCCAAGCTAGGCTGGGGGACAATATGCGGGTGTAGTCGACCAATGGCCACCAGGCAGCTCAAGTTGCACCCTTCGTTGTCAGGCTCGTTGTCTTCATCAAGACCCATCTTTGTGGGCGGCCAACTTTTTAGGTATCCTGTGCTATGGATCGTGCAGAAGCTCTTGCGATCAGCTGTGATGAGAATACAACAGGTAAATGCAAGAGTTAGAGTTTGCGCATGGATATATTCAAATAAATTATGTTCTTTGAAAACGAATATTTTATAGGTTCTGCTTTACTGCATAAGAGCAGTCGGTGTGGTTAAGTATGATGCGCGGCTTTTGCCATCACTTTGGACTTAGCAATGCACAGAACGCCATGGACGGACCCATTCATCGAGTATGTACTATGACAACTCAAGGACGGGACACTGTAATATAGTGTAGAAAAAGCACTATAAAAGTGCACTTCATTTTCCATCACCATAAAATTGGATGTCATTTTTTTTAGACTATCGATGATGATGATGTTTTTCAGCAAAAGTACAATTAGCAGAGATGAAAGTGGACTTTTCTGAAAATCCCGGAAAAAAAAAAAAAAAAATATATATATCGCACTTGGCCGATCACGCATGAATTAGTTTACGCAAAACGCTATTCAAATACTCGACATTCAATGATTAATGTGTGCACACGTGTACCCTTTGTGGCTTCCGTTCGGGCCGAAATTTCAAAATCTCCAAGATATGGCGAGGCCATGAGAATGCGAGGTGAGGGTATTACTGTTGCGGCGACGCCACTCAAGCTAAGCGAGTCTTAGCAGCAGATAGTCCGCTGCTCTCTGCTGTGCGTGCTTCAGCGCGAACATGTACGCAAGCGCGTCTTTTGATTTCAACCAATCAGTGCCGACGCAAATGACGTCACACAGGACAACAGCTAAACTAAGTTAGCCGAGACGACACTCGAAGTCGGACGGACACGATTTTCTGCCAATCTGTGTTTTTCCCTTTTTGGCCAAATATATTATTTACGACAACTGTCTTGTCCACGGCGTCTTTTATTCGTTCCACTTGGGTTTAGCAGGTGTGTTTATAAAGAGACGAAAATTGTTTGGGGACGATCCCCCACGTTCTAGTTGAGATGGTATAACCCAAGAGGCAAAATGGCGCTTGCTACTGTTGTTGCGAGTTGCCATTTGTTCTACTAAACCATTAGTCAAACGCCATCATGTCTTCTGTCGTTATTACACATACAAAAATCTCTTTACTGTTACTCGTGTTAGTGCCTCAATATGGCTACGGTCATGAAAGCAATACAACAAACTCAAACGCGTCTTCGTTCAATGTTGTCAACTAATATCCGGATTCATTTTATGCAAATTTTCCTCAATTCTCCGAAGAAATTTTCATAAAAATTTGAAAAACCCGGAATTCCGGGAAAATCCGGAGGACTTTCATCTCTGATTAGGAATCCACAATTAGGATTTGGTTGTTAAATGGTTCACGAACAGCAATCGGGGATTTGGGGGTATGAGTCCAGCCCCCAAGGCCTACATATGACAACAACAATCATGTCACTCAATAGCAACTCGTGGGTGCAAGGGAAGGCCCAGTCAATGATGCGCCGTCACATCGGTTTCAAATATTGCGCCTTAGATTAAAATTAACCAGGGAGTGGGAACACCAGAGCAGATCAAATTTTATAATACTGTTCTGTTATCCAATCAATACCTCACAATGGACTGTCTGAGGTACACATTAAGATGATGTTTTCCATGTACCATTCTGCACTACATTTCTTTTGTGTTCCTATTTTTTTTCCATTAAATACATATGCACTTAAGGAGGCCGACTTCCTTTGTTGTGTAATGCTGTTGGGTAAGTGAAGTGTGAGTCCTGGCTATAACAAGGATGTGGCCTTTTAAAAATAGAAAGGGGAACAAAGACAGCAAGAGCTTTCACAAAGTGCCAGCTAAAATTAGTGTATATCAAGATGATGATAAGAAATGGAACCTCTATCTATCCCAGGGCAGAATAATGACGAGATAAAATTGTTTGAAACACAGTACCTTTTTTCTTTGAGCAGGTTGAGGGAAAGTCTTTATCCTCGACTTTGACAGACGGCCTGTTGCACTTCATCCGACAGAAAAATGACCGTCTGGCACCAGAGCAAAGTCTAGATGGCCCAGGCGTGATGTCCGTCTTCACCGGAAGACCAGCTACCAAAAACAAACTAAAGGTTAGGTGAGCATTCAACTATTTTTTATACCATTGCAATCAAAATTAAGTCTGTAAATTTTGAGAATTGTGAAAATGAATCGTGTTAACCTTAGCATTAAAACCTTTTTCAATACTAGGGTACTCCAAATATTCTACTTTGCTTATTTCATCATAAAATGTACCGAAACACAATGCCGTGGAGAAGTTTCTCCAAATCAACCTGATCTATTCTTAAAGGGTGACTGTCCTACAATTAGGCCGCCTTCATGAATCAACTAGTCAAAGATAGTGAGACAACGCAATGATGACATAATGAAGCACATTGAACATTATGTTCAATGTGCTTCAAAACTCAAGTTTTGCTGGCTTAACCAATACAAACCTAAGCTATTCATGCAGAATAAGGACGGAGTCTTGCCATGAATAATGAAAATTATGTGAAGAGTGAAATGGCCTTCCGCATGTATAAAAAATATACAAGAGAGTCAATAATTGATGTCCCATTCAAAGGGGATTGTATTCTGTTTTGATGCCATGACATGAAGCATGGCGTTGGTGCTTTTGGTCCTCTCTGTTGAACATGAACCATGTTACATCAATTACTGCATTCAGTTTATTACACAACACAAACCAGTCACATGAGGCTCATCAGTATTCGTTTGCGCACGAGCCAATATGAAACAAACTGTGGCAACATCACACATTGGGAAACAAATGTACCCAAACAAAATTAAGCTACAAACTAAGCATTTGGCATTTACACTAAATAATAAATGTTGGGGAATACAGACAACTTATAACAGCTAAGTAGACCGCATGGGCTATAGTAGCTGTATCAGGAGAGAAGCTGAGACATACTTTCACTTTATACTTTATATGCATACATACATATACACAAGCGCGCACACACTCACATGCGCACGTGCACGCGCACACACACACACACACACACACACACACACACACACACGGAGAACAATTGAGAGGTTCCTCAAAACGTAGTGAGCGGATATTGACTTACTTTTAGCATCAATGAGCCTTTCACGGGGGGCTGTATCCGAAGAAGACAGCTGTTCTTTGACCTTGGCGATGTCCTTGGGATGTAAGTAGTCAAAGAGACTCTGACCTATGAGGTCATTCTGGAAAGAAGAAAGCAACACAAAAATGTCATTTGTGGCACGTGGTCATTACTTCCACTCACACTGCGTGCCTTACAATGTGTTACTGTAGCTCTATTGAATAGCTATACACCCACACTACTAAGCATGGTAGAATGCCAAACACGACCAATAGAGTTCAAATGATTTTGTATTTCTACAGGTAGGTAAGATATATGATGAGCACACACACACAAGTTTTTTTTTTTTTTTTTTTTTTTTTTTTATGGTATAGTGCACACACTCAATGCATACCTGGCTGTAGTTTAGAATCTTGTAAACCGATTCCGAAACAAAAAGAATCTTTCCTCGATCACATCCAACCACAAACAGGAAGCCATCAGCAGCCTGCATTATGAAACAGATAATTCATGAAAATAAATATTTAGATTTTGGAAACAGTTCAGGATACGGTGCTTAAAAACATGAGAACAACAAACAGTTTTTTTAACCAAGAAAACCTTCACCTCCCTTAAAGGATCAATATTTTTGATGGCATAAAACAAATTACTCCTTCTCGTGGACTTCTGATTGCAGGCCATTTTGGTTCTTGTTTGTTTTTCTATTTTTGTCTAAATTTCTTAGATGGGATAAGTGTGTGTCTCGATGTACATGTGTAAGTAAATGACCAAGAATTCAATATTCCACATTACAACTAAAACTAAACAAAGACAAAGGTGGATGGGCAGTTCGTAATTAAAACAATATTTTGTGTAACTGTGTAATCTGATCTGTTGGTGTACTCCGTGATACAGTATAAATGGAAGAATAATGAAGTTTCAACATTAGCATGTCCAATTCAAACAAGTATTGGAGAAAGGAAGATTACAATGGTGATCCAGCGATAACCTACACACTACAATATGGTATGTGATGTTGAAACAATTAAAAATAGGGCAGAAAATTGAATTATTAAAATGGAGTTCATTTGATACATTTACACAGAGGAAATTTGATGAGGACTTCAAAATTTATTCAGCAGAGGACAAAAGAAATTACCATATTTTCCACACTAAAAGGCATACTGGATTATGAGGCGCACCTTCAATGAATGGCCTATTTTGTAATTTCTTTTCATATTTTGGGCGCACCGCATTATAAGACGCAATCTACAACGTATCCACTAGATGGAGCTACGCTCAAGCAAACACCAACAGAACGATCAGATGTCAGTAAAACATATTTAATAAAACAGCGACACAGTTCACTTAACCAACAGAAAGTTATAACATTGACTCGTTAACGTTGAACTCTCTTGCCGCTGCTCTATTTCCGTGTTCAACTGCGTAACCGATCGCCTTAAGTTTGAACTCTGTGTTGTCAGCATGTCTCGAGCAATGAGCCATTTTGGGGTCGAAATATTACCGTAATGACCATACACAAGGCTCATCGGATTTTAAGGCGCGCTGTGAGCTTTTAAGAAAATGTAAGGCTTTTACATGTGCCTTTTAGTGTGGAAAATACCGTACTTATTGTCCTCTCATCATTAACCTCAAAGAGGCCTATTTTGCAATCTCTGTAAGTAGCTGTTCGGATCTAGCCCTGCTTAGCAGTCCCATCAAAAAAGATAAGAGCGCATTTGCGGTGACTGACAATTTGAGAGATTGTTGAACCCTTGACTTTGTAAAACCACGGAAAACCATCAAAGCGGTAGTCAGCTCATGCCTACCATCAATTCTACACGGTCCACACCCTTCACTGTGCATCCGCAAACACTCACGCAACTGCATATAAAAAGTTCCTTCACTGTGTCGCACTCACCCTTAGTATCAAATGTTTCAGCTCATCATCAGAAAGGAAGGAAGGCTTGTAGTTGGCCTCTGTATATGGATTTGCTGCTCCTGCATGCAACAGTAAACAGTTATTACAAAGCAGAAGAAATAATTAGGGTCAGAGAAGCGACCGCTGCGAGGTCCCTATTGTTTCTCTAGAAATAAGTATTAAATTATCATAATTTTTAATCATTATCGTCAACATTATCATTATTTTCAAACTTTGCGGACACATAACCTGGTAAGAGCCAGATTTATATGCGAATCACTCAAAGGAGTTCTCCACATCGTGAATCTGGGACTGCTCCAATGTTATCGGCTTGAGAAAAGCTGGAAATTTGGTTGCTGTTGCTTTGTGATTGGGTGGTACAGCTTGATGCAAATCGGCGGGCTCGGGACAAAACGGATTGGGGCGGTTTTGTGAATTCATAAATACTGCGAGAATTCAGCTTGAAAGAAAGGTTAGACACACTGGGCTCTGTGAAAAAAGATTTCTCACACGATTACAAGAAAATGGGTTTGCAGCATCCCGTGAAGAGGTTTAACAGAGCCTCAGTATGTTTGACAATTTAGAAATGTTTTTATTAAATATCATTTCGCTCCCTGGCCAACTAATTTTAGTTTTGATACTTGGCTGTAATCTAACTAACACTAATAGTCGCAGCAATGTGAAAGCTAACAGGCAGCGAGGGGAAAAAAGGTTAATCAAAAATTGCTCTCTTGGGTAATTATTCTGACTAAAACACTAAACACTTTTGGCATCACACATCATCCAGAACTTAATTTAAAATGAATAATAATCATAATGATAATAATAATCTGTATTAACACATCCATTTTTAAAAAGTTCTCTATCGGGTTTGTCTTGACAAACAAGAATTTATTGCTTGTACATACAGTATATTGTGCATAGTGTTAACGGCAAATTATGGCAGCTACGTTGTACAACAATCAGTAGAGAGTGATGTAGTCCATTCTAACCTCTGAGTGTCTTCATGTGCTGAACAGCCATGCGAAGAACTGTCAGCTTGTCTAGTTTACGGGACATGGCATTACAGGTGGGCACCAGTGACGCCAGCTCATCAATAAAGCTGTTCATCTTGTCCCTTCGACGCTTCTCAATTTGGCTGTGAGCCTCTCTGTCAAGAGGCAAAGATGACATTTCAGTGTAGACATTCACGCATTCTGTGCATTACCTGTTCAACATAAGACAAACTGGAGACATAATTCACACAATCCTTCTTATCCATCATGTCGTAAAAGAGGTACAACAATGAATCGATCAATTGACAACTGATTGAATATCAGACGAACTTTTACACAACCATAATTACCTGTTCAGCTTTACACTAACAAATTTTAAAAGCTGTACAAACACAGGCTCTAATCAGGCAAAATGACAATAAATATAGGCAGAAAAGGAAAGTGCAACTGTACAGAGAAAGAAAAAAAACTAAAGATACCTGGCATTCTTTATGCGGCCTGGTTGGTCACTGAAAAAAAGGAAAATATTTACGGTGGAAAAAAAGATCAAATAAATATTCTCCAAGAGTTGAGGTTCTTTGCCAAATGAAAATGTGACACCATCTATTTGAAGAGGGTTTGTAACAGCACTCAATCTTGTGCAACATACTTCCAGAGATTTTGACAGTCCAACTTACGTATTTTCACGACTATAAGGCGCCATTAAAAGTCTTAAATTTTCTCCAAAATGGACAGGACGCCTTATAATGCGGTGCGTGTTATGTATGCGCCGAGTTCCAAAGCCTGACTGGGAGCGCCTCTGGCCGACACGCTGTTTATATAGAGAAAAGGTGGACGTGAGTGACGACAGGCATGTGGAAGTCGGCCAATGAGTGAAGGGTGGGCGTGTAAGAGGACGCTAAAGGCACATCCCTAGCAGGTACCAGTCGCCAATGAGTGAAGGGTGGGCGTGTAAGAGGACGCTAAAGGTACACCCCTAGCAGGTACCAGTCGCGTGAGTACATTGTAAAATGGATAAATAAAGTACAACCGAACTCAGATTTGCTTCCGTTGCCTTTTTAAAAACGTGTTTTTAGCGTGTGTCCGTATGTCTTAGCTGCTACCGTATGCTTTAAGCTAACATACCTGGTATGTTTTAGCGTGAATGCATGCTCCTGAATGCTTCAAGCTAACGTGTTTTTAGCGTGCGTGCATACATGCCGTATGTTTAAACTGGCGTATGTTTTACCATGCCTGGCTGCGCCCAATAACACAGTGCGTTTTGTGAATGTGTCAAATACAGAAATAGCACCCGTTACTGAGACTGCGCCCAACAATACGGTGCGCCGAATGGTCGTGAAAATACGGTAGTTATTTACTGTTTTTATGATCGTAATCGGCACCCGTACCTGACACTATGCCTTTTAATATTGTGCGCCGTATGATCGTGAAAATAGGGTACATACGATCAAACATTTATGTACAATGAACAGGTTAAAAGGTTAAAGAAATTGGTTAAAAACAGCATATATTTTCACATACAGTATTACACATAACTACCTATTCATACACCTGTATGTAGGACAGCAAGCAGTAGTTCTTGCTTTAGTGAATCAGTTTCAAAAACTTAAAAAAGGACTCTCTATTGTGCTTAAATTATAAGAGTAATTGCTTTTAATGTTTTGATGATATGATCTAAGTTTAATGTACACAGTGAATTACACTGAAGCCCGATTTAGGAAAAACAAATAAATAAATAAATAAAACACGAATCCAATCACAATTTCTGTCATAAAAGGCAGAATTCAATCTTTTCCTGAAATGGTACAGCCCTACTACAACCTAATAAAAATTTCCTCACCATATACCTCTTTGAAATAATTTATCAAAAGCACAACTAAATAATAACTTTATTCTGCCTATGTTTTCAGCTGGAACAGATTGAAGCAATAATAATAATAATAATAATAAGAATAATAATACATAATACAGAGATGAAAGTGGACTTTCCTGA